TTTTTTTTTGTGAAATATGAGATGAAAAATGGGATTTAAAAGGAATATGATGAAGAATGCCTCATAAGACGAACATGAAAACATATTTTGTGATGCATGAGATGGAAAATGCAATACAATGGTGAGATGGAAAATGCAATACAATGGACATACATGAAATTTTCAAGACATATAGAAGATTTAATGTGAAATGAATGGGATGGATATATGACATGTGAAACAATCATGAACATTTTCTTCTTCTTCTTCTTCTTCTTCTTTTTTTTTTTTGATGCATGGGGTTGAAAGTGAAGGTACCAAGTGCATGGAATGCTCCTTACCTCAAGAATGATGTCTGAATGTAGAAGATGAACAACTAATCATACCTTGGATGTATATAAGAACAAAAACCTGTCATGTGCGGAGACAAAGTTAGTAAAGAAAAATGCCCCTTTGTGTCTTAGACACAGGATCCTAACCTCACGGGTAAGATCCTAAGGGAAACACGTCCTAGGGTTGGTATCTCTTTAAAGCCAATACATGTTTTCCTGAAGGGCATTAGGCCTTCTCAACCATTTATCCTTTCGGAATCAACGGGAGATATTTCCAAAAGCTAATACACAGAATGATATTACATCATCTAGTGTCGTATTAGCCAATGGAAACAACCTAACGGGAACCAATCTTACTCCTCAAAGCGGGAAGAATTGCTCTTCCAAGCTAGATTCATAAGGATTCTAGACTAGAGGTCGGGTTCACCTCTGACACGGACCTAATGCAAAATGAGTGTGAGTGTGTGCGAGGGGCATGACACTCTGATAACCTGCACAATGGCAACCACAAAAAGCAACATATATCCCACAACAATCAAATAAAGCATATAAAACCCTCAACAAATATATCACCCACAAACAAACCTAATTACACATCAGGAAGGGACTCACCTAGTACTCCCATGCCAAATGCAAAAGGTTAGTAACACAAAGCAACCAACACTTAACATGCAAAAAGATGTAAATAATCGCACAAGAGGGAAGAGACTCACTGAGTACTCCATAGCCAAGTGCAAAAGGTGAGTATATCCACACACAAGCAAATAGGCATGTAAGCATGATGTATGATGAATAAGCATATAATATCAATGATGGATGAGCATGTGAGATGATATGATGCATGAACATGTTAGCGAGGTATGATGCATGTCAAGATGTAGCAAGATAACTACTCAAAGGCAAAACAATCAAAGCAACCACTAAAACAATGAGCAAACAAGCAACAAAGACAAAGACCAACAAAGACTCAACAAAGACTCAACAAACAAAGAAAATCAAAAGTTGAAAAATCCCCGAAGTTAAAGTATTAGCTCGACCCTTGTGAACCCAGAATATGGAAACCAGAGATTCTGGGTTCTGTCCCTAGTAGAGTCGCCAATCTGTTGACGATCACTTAAAAGGGATTAAGTGTGAAAATATTAAAGAAAAGGGGAGTCACCACTCGTCCAAATTGTAAGGTGGGACAAGTCACCTAAAACGAGTCTGCGTAGAGATCGGGGTTGGGGGGTTCGGTTAGGAGTGAGGAAGGGCATACGCGCATCTCACAATCCTCCGTTTAAACACGGTTGCATACTTTAAAATTGAGGTTTTATTTCAACTTATCCATTATCTATGTACAAAAAAATTTATTTATTTTTATTTTTAAAAAGGATCAACCAAATTGAAACATTTTTTTTATTTTTGGACTAGAATGGACTAAATCAAAGACATGCATGCACAATAACATAAACAAGAAGCTAAGGGTCTAACTTGATTAAATTCACGAACATAGAAGACTATTTGAAAAGAGTTGAAATATGTGGACTAAATGGCTTAATTATAAAAGTTTTGGGTAAAATTAAAGTGAGAAGATAATTAACGGAAATTAAGGATTTAAATTAATTAATACAATAATTAACTTAATTAAATAATTAATTTAACATTAATTAAAATTAATTAATCATATTATCAATCTTTGATCAAGATAAATGATATAAGATAAATAAATATGATTAATTTATTTTAATTAAAATTAATTAATATTAATAATAAATTAAGTTAATTATCTTGATTCATTAATTTACTTTATTTATATTATGTATTTTTTTTACTTAATCAGATTTGATTTACCCGAACACAAAATAACCAAAAATGAAAATCAAACATGCAAACAACTTAGCAAAATTAAGGTTCGTCATCAATACTTTTTTTTTTTTTTTTGCAGAAAGATGAACATATTTATCAGGCGAATAAACAGGCAAATACATGATTTTTCATTCATTTC